ATGTTCTATAGAGAGAAGAAATATTTATTATAAACCGTAACGTACAGATTAGTTTAGTAAATAGAAGAAGTTAAAACATGTTGTCGACATCAATTGATCTTCATAATAATAGTAATACACGATCATTAAGAATTGTTTCAACAAATCGACTCTTTACTAAAGTTAGAACTGAACAATCAACTGAATCAAGTATTTATTTTATATTTATAATTCAATTTTTTATTTTTATTTTTTAATTACTGATGTTTTTAGTGTTACCATCAATAATTGATTCAACAAATTTATTTTCTGATCATCATCTTGATGTATTCTCAAAAGATGAACCAATTCTCGATGAAACAACAATGATAACAACATCACCATCATCACCATCAACGTCATTTGTTGATTTTCATCATAAATTATCAACATCAACATCAACACCATCAACGCCAACATCATTTTCACCATTACATCATGATCATAGTTATGGTTTATCAACAAATTCATCATCATTACTTCCATCACCAATATCACCTGATACATTAACATCACCAAATTTAGCAATTAATAATACAACAACAATAAGTTCATCTAATCGTTTAACATGGCCACAAATTAATTGTCGAGCATTAAGACCAGATGATTATCATATGTTACTTGAATTATTATCATCAAATACAAATAATGATACACCACCTATTTGTTTTGGTTCAGCACTTATTGATCCATCAACACCAACACCATATTCTGATGCAATACGTACACAACCGAAAAAACGTCTACGTCCTGGTCATGTTAAACGTCCAATGAATGCATTTATGGTTTTTTCACAAATTGAACGTCGAAAAATTGTTCAACTTGCACCACATTTACCTAATGCTGATATAAGCAAGTAAGATTATGATGTTTTATTTGAAATTTTTCTTATGTTTATTTATTTAATTTTTTATTTTAGATGTTGTGGAGCTAAATGGAAACGAATGTCATTACGTGAACGACACCCATATATGGAAGAGTCAGAACGATTAAAACAACTTCATGCACGACAATATCCAACTTATAAAGTAATCTATTATTAACATCGAAATCTTATCTTAACAAAATAAAAAACTCATCTAACGTAATCAGTGGTTTTTCGAAGGCTGTCGATATCAAACATTAGCTTGTACAAGCTTAAATGTTGCACAACTATACACAATATCCTAACAGTAAAGCAATGGAAGACTTGAGATTTTCTACAATCTTTAAACACTGTCTATTAAATGGACTAAAAACTATAAATTAACACATGAGAGAAGTTACCTTAGTCGTAATTTTTAAATAAATGTCTTACGAGGGAAGATCCCCAACTGTCCAATCACTTTTGAGTTCGGACTCCGTGCATAAGGTAGACTCCAGTGAGGTATGAAAAATCCCAAAAGGATAACGGCTCTTAGACCTTCTGTCCAGAGTTATAGAGATTTTACTGGAATTTTAGCCTATAGCATGATATTTACCAAAAAATCGAATGATGATATTTCGGGTTGAATTTTTGTCCATAGACAGGTCTAATTGTGAGTTGAATCACCTGAAGATTTCAGCTCAATAGAACGTTTCCTTCTCGAGATATTAAAGTTCAAACAAAAAAGAAAATTCTAGCATCTTTCGTGAGATATGAGTGATTTTTGGGACTTTAATATCTCGGGAAGAAAACATTATTTTGAGCTGAAATTTTCAGGACATTCTATTCACAACTAGACCTGTCTATAGGCAATATCTCAACCCGAAATATCGTCATTCGATTTGTTGGTAAATATCATGCCATAGGCTGAAATTCCAGTAAAATCCCTATAACTCTGGACAGAAGGCATAAGGGCCGTTGTCCTTTTGGGGTTCTTCATACCTCACTGGAGTCTACCTTATGCACAGGATCCTAACTCAAAAGTAATTGGACAGTTGGGGAACTTCCCTCGTTAGTTTACTTAGAAAAACTGATTTTTGAATTTCGGCTTTAAATTTTGCACATAGATGCGGCTTAACGAGAGTAACTTATTGTGAATGTTTTCAATCTTTAGATTTGCTTCCATCCTGAAATAAGAAAATCAAATTTACTAATATATAGCACACGCTATTACCATAGTTGTATCATAAGATATGAACAACGACAAGATCTGAAATATTCATTGAAAATTATTATCGTTAAGGTCTGTCTCTATGCAATCTTTCAAGTTGGGAAATCAAAAATCATTTTTTCTAAGTAAACTACGATATTCATTTTAAAAAAATACCGTAAAATGCATTATCTCTTTAGCAATAAGCTAAGAGTTCGAACTCTAAAGCAATTTATCAATTGAAGAATTTCCTTTGAGAGTTCGTATATCATGTTCTACATACATGAAATAAGACGAAAACTATACATAACTCTTGTTTGATGTTTAGTATCAACCACGAAAAAGAAGTAAAGTCAATCAACCATTGAATGTACCTGCTCGGCCATCAGCAGCTACTGCTTCATCATCATCTTCACCGCCTCCATCAACAATTTTAACTACAATTCCTTTACACTCTTCTATTGTTATGAAACATCAATCAGAAACACCTCCACCATATTTGTCGCAACCATCATCATCATCAGGATCAAATCCAAATGATCCAATATCACGTTTAGTTGCAACATTATTTGATCAAAAATTAGCCATGTTTGCTAGTAATTTTCAACAATTTAATATTGATCATCTACAATATCATTTTACACCACCAAATGCTCAAATTTATCCAACACCAACATCAATGCCTTTTGATCCTGTAATTTTTCTTGCTAAACAACAAGAACATCGACTTGTTTAAATATTGTCTAAGCATTTATAACGTAGATTTCTACATTTACATATACGTATATATATATATATATGAGTAAAACTAGACGAAACAATTCAGAAAAACGAAAATTTTACTTTGATTTTTTTTTCACGTTTTATTTTATTTTCTTGTGTTTTGTATGATATGTGATTTCTCTTTTCTTTTCTTTTTTTTGGTTCTTGCTCTATAGTTCGGTTTTTGTTTGTTCTTATGCTATTTCATAGTTGGAACTTGCAACTTCATCCATATGAAAAAAAGAGAGATCTTGCTTATCATTTTTTTTTTATTTATGAATACAATAGAACGAAAACAAAAAAGCACTTTATTTTTCACTATGGGGTTTTAATGATGAAAAAGTAAATCATTTTCTATATAAAGAATAAATGATCATAAAATAGCAAATGCATCTATGACATTTAAGCATATAAAATGCTACTGTTTTCTATTTCAAAATAAATTTCTCGAAAAATTTTAATTGGAAAGTATTTCGACTATCAGGAAATATCTCAAATGGAAAAGAGAGAAAAACATGCGAGGCTTCTCTTCCCCAAGTTAGTCAACTTTATCAAAAACTTTTTGATTGACCTTGTGAATCGTTGTTCTTTCCGAAATTCTGATCGCTTCAGAGCATCCCGACGACTATGACTACTTGCAAAGATCAAATCAATAATGAGTAATAATAATAAAAATCGTATTATGATCAATGGTGTTTTATCCAGTATAGTAATCGAGCGGGTAGCACCTATTCGAAAAGAAAAACCTGGATAAAGCACTGATTATGATAATAATAATATTTTGGTTTTGTTCTCGTATTAGACATCTATGATCAACATAGGCAGCTCAATGTTATTTATAAGTTCGTCATCTGAAAGTTAAAAATGCGAGTAGATGAGTTTTTGCATGTCATTCAGATGAAATACATTTAGTGTCTCTTTTATTGAACTGGATATTTTGCATTGCAACGTGTAATAGTAACGTAGATCAAGAAAAATTTGCAACTCACATAAAACAATATATGCGCACGTTTATGTTCATTGAAATGTAACCTTCGAAAGATAAGATTTTGATATACTTTAATGCGAAAAAGTTTAATGGCGACGCTGAAATGTTTCACAAAACAAAAGATATTAAATTGAGACCTTCCTCACTATCGAATCTGTCTAATATGGGTATGTAATCTTATATTATTGAAGGCGAAGGAAAATTTTTGAAGATTCATAACCCAATATTTACTTGAACAAAACTCAATGTCTCATGGCTCCGCCTTCAATAATAATTAACAAATGAAATACATAATTTCGTTGTTCGTGTTACACTGGATTGAGTACTTTTTTTCTTTTACGCTTCATATCGACTAAAAACGACGATATTCTTATTCCTACTACAATGAACAGTTGAGCTTTAGTAAATATTTAAATACAACTTATAAATTGAAGATTTACGAACTTATTGAAAATTAGTTTATTTTCCTTCTTAAAATATTCCTGAAAGTTTCTTCCTTTCCAATCATATATCCATAAACATGTATGGCATACAAAACGAGAATTGTCATCTGAATTATTAATCGTTATTCATAAACATGTTGTCTTAAATGATTCTATAACACACTTTTGTTTTCTAATGAATAATCATTATATATTATATAGAAAATAAAAGAGTTTGTAAATGGAAAAATACACATATCTAACAGAATATTCATCAGCTGTAAAATATTCTAATATTCGCATAGCAAATGGTTTAAACAGGTGTGATCATGTATAACAATTTTGTGTGAACAACCAATTTTCTTGTTGATCATATTAAATTGGAATAAAACAATTGTTGTTTCTTTTTTTTTTTACATTTAATTTTTAATACTTTTACTTTCTAATTCTTGTTGTTGGTGACTTTTTTTTTTCTTTCATTGTTATATAATTTCACTTATATTCGTCGTCAACATTGATATATTCAAAGATGACTAAAACTATCGAGAAAAGAAGAAAAAAACAAACGAAAAGAATAACAACATAACACGCTCTGTAAAACACCTTCTCTTTTCTTCTTGGCCTATATTCACATTAGTCCTCTCTTTTTCTATCGTTGTTGTCCACTTTCATTTCCATCTTTTGACCGCACACATATAACACATCTCTACTATCTTTAATCTCACGCTTTCTTCTTGGATCACAATAAACCAAACAATGTTTACATCAACTAATCAAACTATATTTAATCCGACTAAAAAATTAAATATTAATGCTTCAACACCATCAAGTTCTCAAATAGCAACATGTAAATTATTTGTTGGTAATTTAGCAACACATACAACAGGTGCACATCTACAAACTATATTTCATTCATATGGACAAGTTATTGAATGTGTTAAAGTACGTGAACGTTATGGTTTCGTACGATTTGCTACTAGTGAAGAAGCTCAACGTGCACTTACTGCTTGTAATGGTATACAATTAAATGGATATCCAATGATTGTTGAATATGCACAAAATGAAATTCTTATTAGTCCATTATCACCAAGAACGAATAATACTAGTTCATCAGCACAATTTCGACCTCATCCATATCATGCTGGAAGATCATCAATGTCATGTCAAGTAAGTTAATTATTATTATTCTTATCATTACTTTAATCAAATTCTTATATTTAATTAAAAGACTGATACAAAATTAACAACACCAATAACAATAAATACAAATTCTCGTCATTCAACAAATAATAATTTAAATCGAGATGATATTCCATTATTATCAGCTGCAAAAAATACAAATAATAAATATTCATCATCAACACTTAATCCTGATGCATCATCATTTACAATATCATTTTCTCCATCGAATCATAATCAACAAATATGTTTAAATAATAAAAATTCAAATATTGAAAATATTTGTTCAACAAGTGATTATCATTCACAATCAGGTGTATTATCATCAAGTGGTTCATCATCAATACAATCATCTGGTTCATTATCACCATCGATACTTTCAGCTATTTCACCATCGATTTTATTATCATTTGATTCATCTGATGTTGAACAAACATGTAATCATCGTAAAAATATCAATGAAAAATGTCAAACAACAAATTCATCATTAAATCTTTTTATTGGTGATAAAATTCTTAGTTTATATGGTTCAACAACACATGTTGATACAAATAATAATCAATCAACAATGATGAATTTAAATATTCAAGAACAAAATTGTAAATCATTACAATTTGATAGTCGTGATATTGATCCACGTGATCCAATATTTATTTGGAATTTTGTATTTTATCCTGATGTATCAATAAGTCCGTTTGTTAAACGTGGTGATATAAAAACATTACTTGATCGTAGAGTTTCACTTTATTCACGATAGGATTTTCTTTTTTTCTTTTTCGATAATACTAACTGCTGGTCAGTAAGAAATAATTCATTTATTATTATTTTTCTTTCGTTCGTTATTATGTTCGATATATATTTATTAAAATATGATTCATTTCTTGTGTTTAATCTTGATATGTGTGTGTGTGTGTGCTGGTCCAATGTGTCCTGCATTCCTTTCTTTTCTCAATATACTCAATGTTCATTTGTCTATGTTGAGTTTGCTCTATGTAATCCGCCGCCGTTCTCTTTAATCCTAAAAATTTCTTTAAATTATTCATTTATACAATTTCTTTATTTTTTTTCTCAATCAAAAAAACTAATAATTTACTTTTTTCTTCGATCTTCTTTTTTTCTTCAATGTCTTTCTTTTTTTTATTATATACAATCGACGACTGAGAATTTTGTACGTGTGTATCTGGTGTGAGAATCTTGAAATAGAAAACTGTTCATTTCACGCCGTAATCTTTCTTTTTTCTTCTTTAAATTTAATGGTAAAACGATGTATACGATGATAATTATATTAAGAATATATACAGAATGTTCTTTTCAAAGTTACAAAAAAATTTTCTTTTGAAATATAGAAATATTGATTATACAACTAACAATAAACGGAAATTAGAATGTGATGCAGAAGTAATGAGATAAATGTTGACTCTGATTTTTCCTCAATTCAAGCATTTTGAAACAAACACTCGTTCAATAAATCTACAGGATATATCTTTGAAACGACAGTTGATTATTTTATAAAGTAAGTTATTGCAAGAAGAACAATTTATAAAATACTGAATAAATATTTGGAATATGGACAAACCAATATTTTATCAAGAAGCAGTCATCCAATGAAACTTTCTAATTAAAAGTAATGGTCACTGAATAAATTCACATAACTTCACTATTGATCAAGCTTAATCGAAATATTTTTTTCTATTTGAAATATAAGAGTAGTAAGTGTTTATTTGTAAAGATCAAGTTCATTAGCATTGTGAAAAACGAATCAATTTCTGTTTCGGATGTAAAAACTAGACCTTTTTCTATATCTATTCGGATTTCTATGATTATTATTGACTTTAGATCATTTAAATCTGTTACCTTAACTTTCTAAACATTCGTTTCGATATATTCTTACGAAAACAAAAAGCAAGGAAGTCAATTGTAATGTCAAAATAAATTATAAAATGATCTAACATATTCGTTTCTACAATTATTAAAGTTTTTGAAGAGCCACGAATGGTTTCTTGTGAAGAAATATGCCTACGAATCGATCGTTTTCATTTAAATGATTGAAAAGTAATACTCAAAAACTTGAATGATCTAAAGTCCATAATAAGGGTAGAAATTCAAGTAAGTATCAAGAAAAAAACGATGCCTATTGTTGGCAGCATAAAAAAAATCTAATTCTTAAATGCTAGCTGAAAGTGTTACAAGTCCATCCTTCAAAAAAGCCAGTTTTCGTCAGAATTATCGAAATTAAGATAAATACATGGGAAGATAGCCCGAGGCCTGATCTTTCATCAACGACATGATTTTTTATTTGACATCTCGTTTTTTTTTGGGAAAATTTTTGATGATTTCTGTCATCACCAGCTTGAGAATACGCCATTTTCAGAAAAAGCAGGAAATCTTTTTTGTTCTTTCTCTGTTTATGGTTTTTGAATCGCATATTCAGAATTGTCGAAGAAACTTTATTGTAGCTCATCTCTTCTTTTTTACTCGAAAGAGCATGTCTAGATGCAGGGTACGACAGAGTTCCTCTTTTACGATTTTCGAGAAATTGAACATTTGTCTCCGTAAAAAGTAAGAATTTAAGAAAAAGATCTCTGTCATGCCGTACATCTTGGCATACTCTTTCAATCGAAAAAGAATGAAGTATATATAATGAAGACCCACGAAGAATCTCGGGTGGTTAAATGAGCTATTCTTGACCCTTATTAGTTAGATATATCCCGAAAACGTCATGGTAGAGGCCTGAAAATTTTACCATTGTCTCTTCACTATAATAGCAATATTTCTGGGAAATTTCATATGATTGGAATCTATCTGACGCGAGATCTATTTTTTAGGAGATCTTGAGTGGGAATAACATTGAGGCAAATCAATATTATTGCTCTACTGATTCAGATAATTATGTAACATCCTTCTGTATTCCTTCTGTTAGTTTAGCATCATATTTCAGTTAATTTTCAAGATTTATTTGATGGAGCAATATAAAAATTGCAGATTCGTTGATCAAATGTTTCTCTTTCTTATCGTATCGTTTTGTGTATAACAAAATCAAGTCTTACATGATTCAGAAGAAGAGAAAATTTCCTATTACCTGATAAAAAATAATCGTTCAAGCAAGTGTTTACTAACGAGAAAGAGACGTTGACATAGATGGAAATGGTACCGTTCGGTCATATCTCTGGTTTATATCATGAATTTCAAACTAAACAGTCATTACAGAGAAATAGGTTGATCATTAAACTAGAAAAGGATGATGCTCTTAGAAGAATATGTCTTCAAACAAGATCAAATCATATAAAAGAAGATAATAAACAAAGTAACGATATTTGATTCAATATATCAACGTTCTATCGTATTGTTGTTTTTTAAATGGGAAGTGGTATATTGAACATTTTCAAAGACTCTTTCAAAGTCTCCAGACTGATGGCATAAGTTAATCATTTATTTGAATTGTTACAGATCAGACCGATTTCAATTCTCAACCTTGGTAATTTGTTCTTGTAACGGTTTTATGACTGTTGCGTTTCACTTCGTATAACTCTATCCTTTTCTCCATGTTTAGGTGTTCCCGCATTGATCTTGTGACTATCTCTCATTCTTTCTATTGCGTGACCGTTTGTTCTTTGCACCTGTTCATTCAACCATGCTCGCTTTCTCTGCTAGATAAGGCGATGTAAACAAAGGAACAGTACGACCAGAGATGTGCAGATGACACAATACACCATCATGCAGGCAGGCGTAGACGTACACTCTCTCAATTTGTCACCGTCCTGTTATTCAGAATTAAGGGAAAAGTGTGAACACGTTTTCAGGTTGCTTCTCTTTTGTATCATGTCATTTAACTTATGAACATGTGATGAAAATAAGTTATATACGATTCGAAATAGTAAAAAAAAAATACAGTTTTCTTTTAGCATTCTTCTATTAGAAAGAAATCAGAACCGACATTTCTACTATTACATTTGTATCTCACATTAAACCGGTAGCTTTAATTTGAATACACATACGATAAATAAATGTTCTGTTTCAAAAACAGGTGTATTTTTTTCTTATTTTATCGTTTTCTTTCTCTTATCTCAAAGGTTATTAAATTATTGTTGCTGCTTTTTGCCTTGTTGTGCACTTTGAAAACAATCTAGAATATGAATAAGATTCCGGTTATTGATATATCTTAATTATTAATATCATCGTCATCAAATGAAGAAATTAAACTCGATGTATCACGTGCAATTTGATCTGCTTGTGAAACAGTTGGATTTTTTCAAATCGTTGGTCATAATATTAAACCTGAACTTTTTAATTTATTAATAGTAGAAGTTCGTCGTTTTTTTAATCAAACTTCTGAAGAAAAACAAAAATAAACTGTACATAAATGGAATCCAGCAAATAAAAACACATATCGGGGATATTTTCCATCATCAATTCATGGAAAAGAAGGATTAGATTTATCATCACCATATCTTAATCCTGAACATGAACTTGTAAAATCTGGTAATTCATTACATGAACTCAATTTATGGTAAATGAAAGGAATCTTCACTGATTATTGGGATGAAATGTGTAAGGTAAAATGAAATAGAATAAACTATTAAAATTTTTATTTTTTAACCAAGGGCGTATTGGACTTGAATTAATGCGTGCCGTTGCACATGCATTTAACTTAGATGCTTCGTATTTTGATAATTTCCTTGATGATCGATCTGTAGGAGGCGCCGGCACTGTCTCTACTTTACGTCTTAATTACTATCCAAAACAAGACAATTCAGTTGCCGTAACAGTCGGCGCACATGATAATCAACCTTTATCTTGTGAAGAACATTGTGATAGTAGTATTTTTACAGTTCTGTATCAACATGAAGTTGGCGGTTTACAAGTCGAAATGCAAGATGGAACATGGATTGATATACCTATTATACCTTATGGTCTTGTTGTCAATACAGGTCGATGTTTAGAACGATGGACAAATGGACATTTGAAAGCAGTGAACCATCGTGTTAAATTTTTAAAAGAAGAACGTATTTCGATACCATTTTTTTTGGAAGCATGTTATACAACACCTATTGTTATACTCCCAACAATAGATGAAAAACCCAAATATGAACCGATTACTTATGGACAATATATCATAGAAAGTAGTAAACAATTCAAAGAATATCAACGAGATTAATGATAAGACAATTTGATAAACATAATTTATTAAGAATATAAAAGTGTGGAGTTTTCAAATAGACAGAATATAAATGATTGATAGATTTATAGTTTTCTTTTTCTTTTTAATTCAATTGAATAAATATGTCAAAGAAAATTATTTCATCTTCTATAATTTAGTCATGAAATAAAATTTTATCGATAGAAACAAAATTTTTAATTTTAGTTTGTAAATGATTTTTCTTCTAAACATCAAAAATAGATATATATATATGAATCTATTTTTAAAAATATGGATATATGAAATACAATACAATGATAAAATATAAATCTTTAAGATTAAAATCTAAAATATATCAAAATTTAACTTGAAGTTACGTCCTTCACTTAGTTTCACATATTTTTAAAATACATTAAGGGTCATGCATTTTGATTTTTGCCTTCTCCTTTTTTTTTTCTTAATCACTCTAACGTGCGTATTCAACATTTTATATGTATGATTGATAGGTCGAATTTTAACTTTTTCACCTGTCATACGTTTATGATGACATATAACAAATGGTCATTTTATGTAATATTCTATGTTTCATATCACACGCCATTATCATCATTTGTATAAATATATATAAAGAGGTGTTATTCGCTTTATTTTTATTTTATTAATAATTTTTCTTTTATAAGACAATGACTTTTATTGTTAAATATTTAAGAATCTTGTATATTTTTGGAATTATTTTAACGAATTTACGCATAGATGCATTCATTTCATCATGATTATCTACTCATCAACATCATGATGATTATCATGATCATCATCATCATCATCGTCGTCATCAATGAAGGGAAAAAAGAAAAGACTTGCCTTTTGGCTGGTTTGATTGAATAGAGCTTGCGTTGACTTGACATGTAAGCGAGCAAGACGAGACATATAGAAGAGAAGAAAAAAAAAACGAGAGAACGAGAAATCGCAGCGCGATCTGTCAACATCAATCAAACCTCGTTGTCATATACTTGAGCTTGTATAAAGCAGGCGGGCGAAACGAAGCTCATGTTTGCTAGTCAGCCGATCATTTATAACCAGAGAGGAGGGGAAATGGGCTCTACACAACTTGACATTTATCGTTCTGTCTCATATACACAAAAAATTCAACTTGTTGTGATCCATCTTATTCTTTTTTTTTCATTCTTTTATGCTTGACATTACTGTTCCAATGGTGTCAACTGAGCAATAGAGCGATGGCACTTTAATGTTTGGAGGCATGTTGAGTCTGATTTATTGCCTCTGAATCGTAATGATGGCTCATAAATCAAAAAAACTTCTCGACTCTTTCGTCGTCCAGTTTGATTTGTGCTTTTCATTCTTTTTCTCACTTGGAAAAGTCATCTTTCTTGTTGTCATCATGCGTTGGTGTTCGATTTGAAAATTTACGCCGACATCTCACTCTCCATCATTCATCATATATATATATATTTAGATATATATATATATGCCTGTGCACCAGTCACATCTAATTGCTCATTCATTCTACTTATATTGACGGGAGCTACAGAATGCATCTTTGTGTTCGATAGATGATGAAGTACTCTTGTCATTCATACACAAATGATCTGTATGCGTGATGAAAGAGAGAAAGAAAGAGAGAGAAAAGTCACCAAAAGATGTGATGATACGCTTCATAGGAGTTTTGTCTCTTTTTCCCTTTTCTTTTTCTTCTTCTTCTTCTTCTTCTCTTTAATCGATCATCAAGTATGTATAGTACTTAGGCATACAAAACAAGAGGAAGATGGAGAGAGAAAGAGTTAGTGACAATTGATCCAACAAGAATATATATAATGTCATCGAACGATCAATCTTCGAATGGTATATATTATATAAATTCATATTCGAGCATCTGATTATTGACGTTTATTTTCTTCAACTCGTTTTCTTCTTTTTCTAATGATGTCGATGATGGAGGTCGCATCCACACACATCTATATATATATATATATATATACGAACGTGATAATGCCAATGAAAAGTCGTTGTGCGCATCCAACTATTTAGTTCTTTAGCAGTTAGAAAGATGTATGCTGATCATCGTTGTCATCCAACACGATTGCTGTTGTTGAAACGAGTGACGTGTGCATTGCGCGACAAATCGAGCTCGTTTATCTTCATCAACTTTTCTACCAGGACAGACAACTAACCTGTCAGTATCTCTGGTCGTTGTCGGATCTCACTCAAACATCATTCCATTACTTTCACAGGCTAATGATGTGCTGGCTGCCAGTCAGAATAGATGGAAGAAAGAAAACTACTAACGCACACGCACTACTCGTCATCGAATCAATCCATCAAACAGTCACCTCATTTTCTTCTTCTTCCTCCTCCTTCTCTACTTCATCCATTTCTTCTCCGTTTTATTCTTTTTTTTATGGTTGTCTTACTTCGTTTGCACTAGCAACACAGTCACGATGATAATGATAAGAATATATAGTATGCATAAAAAATAAAACTATTCAGAACGAATACATACATTTTATATAATTGCTTCCACTACCTATGAAAATTTAGATGCATATATATACATATGTATACATGTCACTTTTCTTTCTGCTTTTTTCATCATTCATATTAAACAACTAGTAATTAGTTCACTCTACGGTTACTAACCCATCACCATCACTATTTCTGATGATTGACACATGATTGACATTCCAAGTTAATCAAAATGACGTGCAAGTCGTCATTCTTTGTTTCTTTCTTTTTTTTTTTTTTCTCTTTCTCGGTATTTTTCTTTATTATTATTATTATTATTATTGTTCAGATTCATATGTTCAAATATGTCCATGTATAAGAACATCTATCAATATATTACTTTTTTTTAAAGATTGATCAGTGTTTCAACTCATTCTTTTCTTTTTTTCCTCATATCATATAATATATCTAATATGTAGATTTGTCTATTCCTATCAATCAAAAAAAAATTTGAAGGCAATACTCGGTAAGCATTTCTTTTGTTTTCTCTCTCTTTCGCTCTTTTTTCCGACATCGACCCATCCATCACTCACTCACACGAATGATTTTTCAACAGAGAAAGAAAGAGAGTGAGAAGGTTTTTTTTTGTTGCTCAATTCTATTTTTTCTTTCTTCTCTTTCGTATTCATTCATTCATTTGTTATATTATTCTAGAATGACGGATAATAGCAGTACACCTATCGATTTACGCATTAAACGTAAACGTGATGACATTGATGAATATAAATCATCAACAAAGAAAAAATCTCGAAATAATTATGAATATGAAATTCCACTTGATTTATCAATTAAATCTCAACAACAAGACCAACATAATGCATTTAATCCAATAAATTCACCATCAACACCATCATCATCGTCAATACCTTTTTATGATCCAACAAATCTTCTATTTAATTCATCAGCATTACTCTATGATTTATTTTTAGCAAATTTAAATTCATATTATCAACAACAACAACAACAGCAGCAACAGCAACAACGTGTGAATATTGAACCAACAGTATCTATATCAAAACCAACAAAACAACAAACAATAAATTCTTCTCGTAATATAAAAGATACTTCAACAAGTAAACAAGAATTGTATGCATGTTCATGTGGTGAAAAATATTCTAATGTTGCTCATCTTGTTAGTCATCTTAAAATAACAAATCATAATGCCCAATTATCTTCTACACATGATGAAGTTGCTAAACTTGTTCGTGGTCAAGATATATGGCTTTCACGTGACACAAATCCAGCTAATCAAATATTAAAATGTCTTCGTTGTTCATTATCATTTGAAACTTTACCTGATTTAACAGCACATATGATGAAAACAAATCATTTTACACAACTTTTACCTTCATCATCATCATCATCAACAGCAACAACACTATCAACATCAGCACCATATCATCATTCCAATTCAAAACAACAACAACAACAACAGCAACAGCATTCACCAACAAAACTTTTAAATCCTCCATCATTAATTCGTTCAACCTGTCTTATTTGTTCACAACAATTTGCACGTGAAGTTGATCTTGTTGATCATATTCAACATTATCATCAAATACGTTTTAATTGTACAACATGTGGAATGTATTTTGAAAATGAAAATCTTTATAAAGAACATATTTTAAAAGAAATGCATCATAGAAATGGAAAAGCTAATCGAAATCGTGATTATTTTCTTAATCAATGTAAAACATTACAAAAACGATCATTAATAACAAAGTAAAAATTTTAAATAAAATTATTAATATTTTTTGTTTTGTTTTTCATTTAGAACTGAACGACCAAAATCTCGATCATCAATTGATAAAGATGTTGAACAAGTAACATTAGATTTAATTGATCGTATTGTTAAAAATGATGAAGAATCTAAAGAATTAACTAATAAAATAACAACAACAACAACAACAAATGCTAATGCACTTTCACTTTTACAAAATTTTGTTATTAAACAAACTCCAACAACAAATCGACAATCAGATTTAAATAATAATTATGATGATGAAAATACAAATTTATCACAAAATGAAAAATCTTTATCATCAAATATTTATCAACATGAAAAGATTTCAAATAATTTATCATTAAAATCAAATGAAAGTCCATTAGTATCATTAGAAAAAATGCTTTCTTATCCAACAACAACAATTCAATCTTTATCAACAACTATAAATGATAATGGAACAATGTCAAATGTATCGAATAATTCAATAATGACAATAAAGAAAAAAAAATTTGATAAATACAGATTATTTGCTGAAAAAATGCTTCGATCTACGTTGTCATAATTATTACAGTTTTTCTTTTTGTTTTATTGATGTTTCCTTTTTTTCTTCTTCTTCTTCTTTCTTTATAAAAAACAAAGTCAATTTTTTTAAATCGATTCAATTGTAGTTTTGAACTGTTGGATGACAGTCCTTTTTTAGATATATATATATATATATAAAGAACCATGAATGATTGATTGCTCATTTTGACATTGTTTTCCATAAATATTTCTAGAACTCAAAAGCATTTTCTTAATATTGCTAATATGTCATTTCGAATGAATTTATTTTTCTTCTGGGAAAATAGAAAAGATATGATAATGATTATTTTTACTTTAACTTAAAAAAAGTATCATAAATAAATGATTTGAGAAGATTTGGCAAATTTTAATTGACTAGCAAATGAATATATGAAGATTTTTGTAATGTTTAAAAAAGAAATTTGCATAAACATAAATGGATAGTGTTCACTATGCTGTTGTTGATGGCTATCTGTTTATTTTGCGACCAATGAAGAGAGTCAGCAGTAGAACCTGTCAGGTCCAAAATTTTCGGATCACAACTCGTTCAGAGCTTTTGTGAGACTGATAGGTCAGCCGTTGTGAGTAGATCTTTGCAAGGTCTGAAAACAAAGTTTAGACTGAAACGGAGAACGCGATTTTATCCTGTGGGAAATTGATTTCATACTGTTGTTCAGTGATTTTTCTTGTTACTTTCATAAGAACGCTCATTTCATTTAGTCTCCCAGTTCTTTTCCTTGACTGCATTACTTTTTGCAGTTTTCGGATTGACAAGTGAATAATAGACTTCCTTTTCCATGATGATGTTCCTTATTATATACGTTGTATTAGCATTTTTTTCTGAAGTATAAAGGTGGAGACTGTATTCTATAAAGTTAGGTAAGAACTGAGAGTCTTGTAGCTATCAGTGAGAAACAATCGAGTTCACTTCGTAAATCTGGAAATCAATGAATTGTGAACATATCATTGTATGTTCTACCAATACTCTCATTGTTGACAGATACCTTTAAGAAAACTAATGATCAGGATATTCTTTTGTAAATAAATGTTTGTTCTTTCTATTGAGATATTTCGAATAAATGCTAACTCTAGCATTTAAACTTTATTTTCGGACCTTGCAAATATTTGATTATGACGACTGACCTATGATTCTCACAAAAATTCTGAACATAGATTTGATAAGAGAATAAAATTCTTACTCTTAATTGGTCGAAAAATGAAGGAATATTTTGTCTACAAATTTACAACGCATTCATTATACGCAAAATTAGATATTGATTAGTGACGTAACATAGCCGCAATATGACTCTCTGTTGTTAATTTGTATATCTATTATGTTAAAAATATTTTAATTCATTGAAGTTCCTATTTTTGATTTGAACTTATCATAGAGATGGATAGAAGACTTTCTAGTTCTAGTTGAAAATTGAAATATATTTTATCGAAATCGAAAGTAAAAGAATACTTAACTGTTATATTTCACAAAGAAATTTTTTTCTTTTAGAGTAAGATTATTGTAGTTTCTATATGATTTTCGTAGTTTGAGAAAACAAACACAAAATTTGTGACTGGAACAAATCGTAGTCGTATGATAATCATGCTCTAACTTGGATATCATTAATCATATCCAAGTTAGCAAAAGACTTGTATTTTATAGAAAAAATATTTCTCCTCAAAATGTGAGAGTACAATGTTTCTTTACTGTTTTCTTTCCTTAGAAATATTCCATGCTACAACTAACACCATAAAATCGCAAGTACACCTCTAAATTAACATCAGCTAATATGAATACATATACATGAGAAACTATTGATTTTTAAATATATTGTAATGCATTCGCGAGGAATAGGTACACAAATTTGAAAATGAAGAAATTTTCATGTTGGAGGATTTTCTTAATTGAATTCCGCTATTATTAATATGAGACATTGATAAATATTGATGAGAGTTGATGTGAGTTTTCTGAGAAATTATTAGAAATTAACTATACTGTACTAATTAATCACAAATGAAGCTATTTGAAGAGTAACTCATTTGATTTATTTAGACATGTGGCGAAATGCTAAATATTAAGAATCTTTTGTTTCATCTTTATCTGAATGTCAAGTTTCATTCGAATATTATTGACACTTATTGAACTAAAAAATATCAGTTATTTTAGATTAGAATCACTTTAATGGCACAATCGTTGTGGCTGTTGTATTCCATTAAAGGAATCTATTGCTTGAAGTTTTTCTATCATTCTATAAGGTAGTTCGTTATTGACTTTGAATTGATAAGATTCTGGCCATGATAAAGAATGCACTTTACAAATAAATACTTTCTTTGAAAAATGTCTTTTGTCAAGTATATTTTTATTGAAGACATTATCATATCGATAATTATGTGATAATGAAAAATGATTGAAATTTTGAAAAGATTGACGATAAGAATGTAATAGAATATCATATTTTTTATGTTGCAATAAAGATTTATCTTTCGAGATTAAATCTATGGAATTCTTATCAATATGTTGTCGTTGAGTACGAGAACGAATTTCGAATGAATGTTGAATATCTTTCGATGAAATAGGTATTGTAGATTTTGAAAAAGTCGCTTCTAATAGTTTTATTTCATTCTATATTTATGAAGAATTACAAGAATAAGTATTATAAAATGATCTTTACTGCATTATTATGACTAAATTTAACAATCGAATCGGCATTTGAATCAAAGTCTTTTGTCGTTTTTCGAATATTTTTTTTAATTATTTTCATACGTTTCTCTCGAATTGGATTATAAACAAAACCTAAATCAGTTGAATACGTCCAATTAGGTATTATTAATTCATCATATTGAGATTCAATATCAAGTTTGTCTTCAAGTTTAATATTTGAACGATCAAATAGAGGTTTTTCCACTTTATGCATATCTTTTAAATGTTCAAATGATGAAATAGATCCATTTGTAATTCGATTTCCTTTAAATCGATTCATAATTGCTATGAATTGTTTTTGTGGCAACATAGAAAAACAATTCAAACCTTCACTAAGAAAACAAAGGAAAACAGACAGAATGTATTTGAACAATAAACAAAAAAGAACAAGTTTTTCATAATTCAATACCGCATAAAGATCATAAGTATTTTTTCAATAATAAATTTCTCAGCATCATTAAATAAATTTAAATATGTAAGTGATGAAAATATTTTAGGTGAAGCTATTCGATTATAAATTAATGGTATTGTATCTATTGGTATATTTGTCTAAATTTGAATTTGTAAATAATAAAGCGTTTTATTAATGGACTGTCAGAGATGGTGTCTCAAGATGGCCAGGATTGAGGGGATGGGTCGATGACTCTGGAGATCAATTGGATGGTTTTTGCTAAAGTTGACCGAATTTGGAACGGGAATTGAGCGCTTTTTTTGGAAATATTTGGACAAAGAAAAATAAGAAAACACTGGAGAAGAACCATAATTTTTTAAGATATTTGTAAAAGACACGAACACCCAAAATGGTCAAACATAAGTTAGATTTCTAATACATACTTTTCAATGTCCGAACACCTATATCTTTAACAGTGAGTAGATCGCCTTGACTTAAGCATATACCCAAAATATTAGGCTTTTATAAATTACCGCATTTGGCAGTATAGAGTGCTATACACTTTAGCACCAACATCGTATTCTCTTCTTCTACCGAAGAACAACACAGCTCCTGATAACAATGTGAGACTCAAGGCTCAGGAAAGAGATAGAAAGACGTGCAATATATCACAAGTATCAGTACAACAGGCTAAAAACCGAAAGACAGAATAAAAAGAAACGCGTCAGAAGTCAACGAATAACAGGATACGATGCTCATGTTAGCAAATACAATACTCTATAATGTCAAATACGGTAATTAGTAATAAAGACCAATTGGACACGTTCATACGAGTTATATGAAAAATTCACATGTAAGGCTTAAAATTGAGAAAACACATTCCTTCTATTTTTCTAAGACTAGCTAATATTTAGGGTATGTGCCTGAGTCGACTTGGTCTACTCTCATACTTTTGCTATTGCTTCAGATGTCGACATATAATGATCATAGATATAATTTGCTTTGAGTTTTGCCATTTGAAATTCTTTATCTTCCCAGACAAAACCAAATGATAAAAATGTATTGAACACTTCTTGATAACTATATAATAAGAAAATAGTTGTGATCTTCTTTCAATTTTATTTTACTATAAACATAGTATTTAAAACACAAACCGTTTAATATCATCGAGAAAAAGAAGATCTTCTTCTATTTTATTCATTTTATAGCCACTTAATCCTTCGAATTCGAAATTATCGATAGACATACGATTAATCATATCGATGAAACGTGAACGAAGTAGAGGAATTTTCATAAATCGAAAAAATTGTACAATACGTTTTACTATTCGACACCATTTTATTAACTAAAACTTAATACTTTTTTTTTTCATTCATACAAATCTTTATTATACTTTATTAGTTTTATTTAAACTCTGTTCACTTGAATTATAAGTGATTGTTGTCGATAATGACTGTTGTTCAGTACTGATTGATGGTGAGTGTTGCATAAAGATGATTTCATTCATATGAGCAAAACATTAAATAAAATAAAAAAAGCGCAATATTCCAAGACATTTCATAATCGCTTGATGAATTTATTTAAACAAGAAATTAACCTTCAGCCGGTGGCGCATAATAAACGGGTCAACATGTTTTACACTTTTTTGAATAATTGGTTATGTATGACAGATTCGGTTAGAGATTGATTCGATTGAGACTTTTTTTGCACCATAACAATGTTGACTTTGTTTTTGCAATATTTTTCTCTTATGAATTTAAGATCATGACCTACTCAACTCTCACACTGCGATCTCTTGCTTAACGAAAATATCTATCGGTAAAGTATTTAGCACTAATATATCGAGAATTCGGTGCGCTATGTTGCCCCGATCTTTTTGCAATTTCTGGTACAATCATTCCGACGAAAAAGGCTTGAAACTAGCCGTATGGGTTGTGTTTTTGGAAAATTATATATCTCAAAAAGTAAGTTAGCTCTATGAGAATTTTATTTTCATACCAACGGATGTCAAATCCAATTCTGAGCAAAATCAAGTGATTGCGTATTTGAGAAAAACTAAATAAAACTATCATCATTAATTTGTATTAAAAACGAAGCATAATGTCAATGATATTTTTCTGTTTGCTTGAGTATTTTGTTTTAACTTATCTATACTTTCAAAATTAGTTCCTTTTGTATATTCACACTGAGATTCAAACTGAATTCATTTGTTTATGAGATTGCAAAACTTACAACTTAGGCGAAACATCAAATTTAGCGAAAAAATTTCTTTCTATAATTGTGAAAAATCAAGCAATCAGTTCAATGTACATTTAGTTATGTATGCCATAAATCGGTTATTAGGAAATAAACTGGGTTTTGTGCTAATTTGAAATTAATATATATCGAATAAAAAACCCATGAAGTTTATTGTACTGTAGTGCACGAGAGTTCTTGACGGAGTTTCCATATGTCTTCATTTATTTTGTATTTCGAATTCGTTCTGATTCCCTATCACTAAGAGAAATAGAACACAGATGTCAAGAAAAATGTATTTGCATTTGAATATATATATATATATGATGGAGATACTTTTAAAGACTCCTAATTGGCCACACCATTTAATCAAGATGGTCAGATCAAAAAGTTATGAATCGGAATTTTGGCAATTAAAATTCGGCAAATTCCGAATTTTTTCACAACAGTTTCTGAAAAAAACTCCGAAAGTAGCTATTTGACATTTAGGATGATTATAAAAAGAAATTTGAAATCTACGCACTGGAAAAAAATACACAACCAATCAATTGCATATAATCAACTGTTAAATTCTCTTTGAAAACAACGAACTATGACGTGATTTTCGTTTAGTCAATAGAAATCAAACATATATATTTAGCTAGCACTGCAGGCTCTCTAGTAATGGTTAATAACTTTTATCAATTAGAAAGTAGATGAGATATATTATTTTCATGTTATGTCATAGCGGTTTAAGTTTCGTTTAAAATATGAGTGACGAATATATTTTAAATTTTAATTACCAAGTTTCTACATAAAGAATGATTCGAAAGAAGGTAGCAACATTTGATCCAATCGTTTTTGTCGATGGGGCCCATTATTGGTTCAACGAAAGATCATTTATTTAATGCTTTGGTACCAAAGTGCATCTTAAATTATGCTCCTTGATGATAGTATGAGTATGCTCATCGACTTGTGACTTCAGCTTAGAAGTATATGTCCTTTTAGCCCACAATACGAAGAAACCTTGTGATAATGATCAAGTTTGTAAGGATCATACGTACTCTTAATTTAAGACTTCGTGGCAACATTGACACACGACTAGATTTACTAGCTCAAGTGCTATAAAGTCTGGCTATTTTTATGTTTCTTTCTGAGAGAAAATGAACGAGTCAAAACATTTTTTTTATACGCCCTCGTTATTATTATTATTCGTTTTATAATTGCTTGAAATAAAGAACTAATAAGAAAAAACGATTTTTTTATTCATGTGATTCATTATATAGGCCTTGTCTACACTAGACAATTTAATACCGAATTAAGGAACTTGATTGGTTGCAAAGTTCATTATATTGAATGAAACGATTATTAATAATAATCTATGCAAAATCATTGAGTTTCGGAATGTTATCCTTTTGTTTTGTAGACATTGAAATTCAGTAACGATAATTTGTTTTTTCTACTTTTCTATTATATAATGTAAAGAGTAATATTTGACGAACATTGTTTGAATGAGAACCGATCATTGATAATCAATCATTTTAACAAAAAATCTTTGAGAAAAGGAAATATGTAGGCAGCCAATCAGGTGAGACTTTGTAACAAATATTTTCACTGTGGATGTTATTTATTGATTTTAAGTATGTCTAACTTTGGAAATGATCCATGATATCACTGGAAATGATACAATAGTTTTACTATCACCTATTTACTTAGGGTTAACCAAAAGTTCTGTCATCATTAAATAAAAATACGAAGATAAGGGGATATTTCCAATTTTATTTCATCAAATGATGGCAATAGTTATTATGATTATCTATAGCAACTTCAACCTTGTCTAATAATTTGGTGAAAGTTTTTTCGAACTCTTTTTCAAAAAAATTTTTAGCTACCTTGGAAACCTCATGAGCTATGGATATTTCATTAATTTAATCAGTTAAACGTTGTTCGATAGAGTTATTTAATCCAAGATTATATAGTATTAGATATGGCTGATGTGACATTAAATTGATGTTTTTTTCTGTTGAATAAATATTAATATCGGATGAGTATGAAGTCAGTGATGATCATTAAGCAATCTTGTACATTTTGAGTCTGACGCCTCTCTTTATTTCATATTATATTAACAAAAGGCTCAAGATAATTTTTCAATATAGTACTTATGATCTACAGTCATGCCTTTATCTACACCAGGATTATTTGATTTACAGAATATACGAAGCAAAATTTTGGTTCAAAAATGTTTTCATGAACAATAGTCCATGACGATTCACGTTCAATAAGCTAGCTAGCATCACATGAGTTGTGATTAACTTATCTAAAATAAATTCACGTCTCATCAATAGTAGTGCTCGGATGCAACTCACATGATTTAACGAAATTCTGCTAAACTTTTAAACAAACAAAACATAATTAGCTCATGCGGTTTTCAAGGTAGTTAAAAATTTTTTGAAAAAGAGTTCGAAAAAACTTTCAACAAATTATTAGAAAAGGTGAACTTGCTATAAATAATCATAATAACTATTGTCATCATTTGATGAAATAAAATTGAAAATATCCCCTTATCTTCGTATTTTTATTTAATGACGACAGAACTTTTGGCTAACCCCTAAGACCTATCGATAAGTGTGCACTCATGGATAATTTTATAGAAATATTAATATGTTATAATAAGGCTCGAATATACTTTGATAAATTATTAGACATTTATGAATGTTTTTTTTTAAATGTAGCAATATTATTATCATTATAGAAACCTAACAGACATGGTTGTAAAATTATAATTTGGAAAATAATCGAAATAATAAAAATATCGTTAAAAAGCTAAGCTAATATCATAAACAGAATGCAATTTGAGTATAAAAAAGCGAACATAGCAAACAAAGTTAACGAAGATTTCTGCGAGAGTTGTTAAGATACTTCTTGGGCATGCTTCGACTTTATGACTATCTATACATGAATCCATTACTTGATCTTATTTTGAAAGATGTACATTTAGTTCGCTCATGTCTGACAGATATTGACAGTGCGACAAAAGATGTAAAATACCATCGAACAAAATCTTATGGAAGCCAGGAACACTGCTGCGGAATTTATCATAGCTCTAGCGAAGAATAAATATAATTTAAACGGTTATTAAAACTGTGCAAATTATTTTCTCTCTGGTCAAAATCATTCTTTGATATCCTGGCATTTTTGATCTACAATTCCATCACCATACGCTAACAATAGTAAAGAAGTATCGTTTTTCATTTTTCACTGACAATCAACAGCATCAGTTACATTCGGTACAACAAACCCATGAAGAAATCAGAAATGATTTCGACACATCCATAAATAATGCAAACCAATCCTTTTTCATAACACTTAGTCCTATTAATGTGGACGAATCTACGTGATTCAGAGATTTATGAGTTCCCGTTGGCGATAAACAATTATTATTGACGAATGAGAATCTCGTTGAATCCGTATTTAATCCATCTTCAATCAATTTGGAGCGAAAAAAGGCGGAAGCACAAGCAGCTCGATCAGAACGACTCAATACCTTACCTAAACGGCCAACAATTGACAAATTCAAACATAGATTCGGCCCAAAAATACCGATAATGAATATTCTAATACAATTCATTGTGAATTTATTGTATTTGATTAATCAAAGAAGTGATTTCAAACTTTTACCTCTCATTTTTTGTGAATGTAAATTTTCAAGTAAAAAAAGTTATAATATACAATATACGTAATACATCTATTAATCCATTATAGATCTGTAAATTTTCGATTATTCGCTTTGGAAATTTCTTTGAGCTTGATAATAAGAATGTTTATAATCGGATAACAGAATTGTCTCGTTTCCTTTTTTGTCAACAACAGGTGAAAAGTATCTTCTTAGCTTCCATGATTATTCAACGAGTAATACTGCAAAACAATCATTATATTGGCCAAATCAATTTTTTTAATAAGTTTCTTGCTCTCGTTCTTTTTTTTCTGACAAATGTATTTCCTAACATCTTGAGACATCTATTAGAAGATGCATCATTTTATGGAAAACGGTCTGTAATCGATAACTCTTTATATTATATTTCCCTTTCTTTGATCGTCACAGTTGGATAGTGGAGCAGATGTTAGTACCTTTTAGACTTTATGTTGACAAGAGAAAAATATTGCACAAATAAAGTCAACAGTTTTGTGGCGTAAAACAGGCTCTGAGAAAAAAAAAGTTAAAACCAAGTGTTTACTATTTTAGAAAGTGTCCCAAAAAATAGACCCGAAATATTT